TGTCGATGTCCTCTTTAACACCTTCCTCATTTGCATACGTTTTCCCATCAAGAGTTATTATTTAATTTATTTAATATTTAATGATTATTTAGTTTTCATAACAAGAGTGTTAACAGTTAACTAACTATTTTGAAGGCGATGGCTAGGACAAGTTTCGTCACGTAACTCTGTACGAGTCGTTAGTTGTTTATGCAGTTGAACTGTTGTACTTTGGTTTATAATATTGTTACGACAGCTAAAGTCGCGTGATCCTGGGAGCATGCGCGCTGGAGTTTCTAGACGCCCTCTTTTTTAGTATATAAACCTAGCAAAGAAAGCCAGTAATCTAGGCAGATAGATTGATAGATATAGCTAGATAGATCGGAGATATAGATAATTGAGTCAACCAAACAGTAGGCACCATAAATAAAGTGTGTGAATCGCTGTGAATTATAGCGTGTGTTTATAAAAGTAGTTAAGTTTAAAATAAGTTGTATCGAGGAAAAATAAACTGGTTTAATTAAGAAAGGACTTGTATCGCTGAAGTTCGTGGTAAAGAATTTTCTACCGGAAATTAACAAACAAGCAGTTACATAATCAATTGGTGTCAGAGAGTAGGACAAAAAAAAACATGGAACTAGAAGTGGCAAATCAATCTATTACTTAGCAGGTTTGATGGCAGCAATATAAGAACAGCAAAATAAACAAGAAGAACGAGAAAATAAACAAGAAGAGAGATTACAGCAGTTGTCGGAGGAAAAAGATAAGAAACAAGAAGAACGAAAAAAGAAACAAGAAGAGAGACTACAACAGCGGTTGGAGGAGAAAGAAAATAACCAAGAAGAAAGTCTCCAAGAGTGAGAGAGAGCCAGCATACACAAATGGAAAATAGTAGTAAATTTCAAAGTGAATTAAATACATTAAAGCACGATTTACTGTCTTTTACACAGGAAGGATATATTAACCATGGACCTAAACAGCCCCAGACAACAGGACGCCCCTTATAGACCCTGCAGCTAAACCCTAATGCAGACATCTTCAGTCCTGCCAGAAGTCACATTTCAGACATGAGTGTGAGAAATAGAGGTGGTCTGGTATGAAGGAAGCTACAGGAATTCGATGGGAAGGCACCATGGTAAGCATATAGAACACAATTTGAGCTCCTGGCAGAAATGAATGGGTGGACAGAGGAGCAGAAAGCAGTGTACCTGGCAACGAGCTTGAAGGGACAACCACTGAAATACTTGGACAGTTGTCAGACAGGCACAACTATAGAGCACTGATAGCTGCTCTAGAACTCAAGTATGGAACTCAAAATCAGTCCAAATTCTACATGGCTAGGTTTAGGACTAGAGTCCAAGCTAAAGGGGAGAGCCTGCAAAAGCTGGCACAGAATTTGGAAAAAAGGGCACACAAGGCCTACCCAACTGTGCCACCCGATCTCCTCAAGGTGTTGCTGAGGGATCAGTTTGTAGACGCCTTGGACAGTCCACAACTGAAGATACAAGTAAAGCAAGCACACCCCTCTACTATGCCAGATGCAATGGCCAGAGCTCTTGAATTCAAATCCTACATCCAGAACAGAGGTACCAAGGTTGGTAGAGCCACCAGGATTCAAAGCCAGAAAAGAGCAGCTTTCAGAGAGGTTTAAGGGATTTTGCTGCCATTGTAATAAAACTGGGCACAAGACAGCTCAATGCTGGAAACTTCAACACAGGGAAAGGCTGCTGCCCAGAAAGGTTGTTGGAATTGTGGAGACTAAGGACATATGAGGAGCCAGTGTAAGAAGAATATTACCAATAAGTCAGCTTCGAGAAACCAGTAGTGGTTGATGCCGAGGGACGCCCACCAACCCACATTGTGAAAGTTCCAACAGCTAAGTGTAAAATGGCAAGCACACACAGTGTCTACGTGACAGGGAAGCTGGATGGCCAAAAGTGCAACTTTATCATAGATTCTGCATCTCAGCTAACCCTTGTGAGTATCAAGGTGCTAAATCACAAAGGAGTACCAGAAGCCCTACAGATACTCTGTGGT